TTCTTCTTCTTCTTCTTCTTCTTCTTCTTCTTCTTCTTCTTCTTCTTCTTCTTCTTCTTCTTCTTCTTCTTCTTCTTCTTCTTCTTCTTCTTCTTCCAGCCAACATCTTATTAACGCTCTGTGTGAAAGGTTCATTCCAGAGCGCTGGTGTGCCGCTGGCCGTGGGCCTGTGGGCTCACACCCTGTGCCCTCTCCTGCGCAGGCTCCTCTCCCTGTGTGAAGCCAGGCCCGGGGGCCGGCCTCATCCTCCTCATCGTGGGGGCTGTCCTCGTGGTAGTGGGGGCTGCGGCGGCCTTCCTGATCACACGCTACCAGAGAATGACCGGCAACTACAACCTCAAAGCCCAGGCGGGCAACTTTGGCTACCAAGTGTTCTACGAATAGTCGTCCTGCTGGCCGGCCGGAGGTGGGTAGAGGTGAGTCTGTCTGCGGCCCAGCTCTGCCTGCCGCCATCACGCCAGCCAAGGGCAGCTCTGGGCCCGCCATGGTCCAGTGTCCGCCCAGGCACGCAGGACCTGATCCCCTGCTCAGGGCAAGTGTGTGCGGCCGGCGTGCCTGTAGATGGCTCCTGCAGCAGTGATGGTTTCCGTGGATCTACGGGGAGCCACGCACACTCTCCAAACCCCAACGCTCCTCCCCACTGGCTGGGCAGCCTCAGTTTCCCCATTCATGGCAGAAAGTGTGTAACTTCCGTGCAGTGGCGGGGATGGTCTGAGGGCCAAAGCAGGAGCTTCTCCAAGCTCAAGTGCCAGATCATTCCAGCCAGGGCTCGGCCCCTCACAGGCCTGTGTGGGGACTGTGCTTTAAGATGTGGGGGTGATACGGGGTCGCAGGGGCTGGAGATAGTCTACTCCTGCTGTGTGCAGTCTCTGCGTGTATGGAGTCCTGTCTTCCGCTGTGCCACACCACCTGTGCCCGGTGGGAACACCTGGTATGTGGTGAATGCTCGGTGTGTAGCTGTGCTGTCCTGCTTGGGAGTGTTAGTGTGTCCGCACGTGCACAGGGCACGGGCAGTTTTAGACCGCCGTGGTCCGTGCTCAGGCAAGCCTGCGTGTGGAGTGCTTGCACACGAAGGATCTGGGGCCTTCTGCCTCCCGCGCAGCCTGACCCACGCCCCTCCCCCATGCAGGTCACAGCAAGCCAAAGCTCGATTTTCAGCGGATCAACATGACTCCATGGTACACGGTGCACTCAGGGCCGGGCAGCCTCTGCCACCTCCCTCCCGAAGGCGTCCATCCTGCAGGTGCGGGACCCCGTGCTCCTGACCCTGCTGTCCAGCTGCCCTCTGGCTGCGCAGCCCCTCCCCTCCACAGTCCCAGTACACATCTCCAAAGGCGCCACATGGCTTCTGGAGCAGATCTCTGACAAGTCTATTGCTAGCAGGTGCCGGAGGCTCACACCCGTGACCCTGGATACTCAGAAAGCTGCTGCTCCAGGCAGGAAAGGCTGGGAGACTCTTGTCTCCTATCAACCACCCAACAGCCAGAAGTAGAAGTGTGGCTCAGGTGGTAGAGCACCAGCCTTAAGAAGTAAAGCAAAGGGACAGTTCAAGTACTGAGTTGAAGCCCCAGCACTGGTGTGCGTGCACATACACACACACACACTCACACACTCATCCTCGGCTAAAGATATACTTAGTGCAATCTGACTTTCCTACTGACTCAAACACAGCGCTATTAAATGGAGATCTTCCTGAGAAGGGAAATCACAGGACACACACACCTTTCTTCCGGGTTCCTGGCACAGTCATAGCCACCTTTCACATAATCTCACTTCAAGGAAGGTGTGATTTGCACATGGCAACCAGAGAAACCACACAGGCGGGGGAGGAGTTATATGCTTAACATCATTACCCGAGTTAATGAGAAATACAGTGCTTTGCTCTACAATGTCCTCTGCTCTACCACATGAACAGATACTGTGATTTATGTCATTTCATGCAAATTAGAATTGACGAGAGGGCTAACACCTAAAAGTATATTTTCCCTTGATGAATTTAGAATTGCAACAGTGTCTTAGTTTGTAATTCATGAGATTAACTTTTATTGAAAGTACTTGACATCATTCCTATAAAATCTTGAGGAAAAGGAGTATTTTGGTTTATGGGATGTTTTTAGAGTAAGAATGACAATAAGTAGCAGGTATGGATAACTGACACTGACCAATAAATAGCGTATGACACAAGATGCAATGCCTCTGCTTCTTCTCTGTGAGGTTGACAGCAGTGTGACGGCTGTGGTTCTCTGTGAGGGTGACAGCAGTGTGACGGCTGTGGTTCTCTGTGAGGTTTACAGCAGTGTGACGGCTGTGGTTCTCTGTGAGGTTTACAGCAGTGTGACGGCTGTGGTTCTCTGTGAGGTTGACAGCAGTGTGACGGCTGTGGTTCTCTGTGAGGTTGACAGCAGTGTGACGGCTGTGGTTCTTCTCTGTGAGGTTGACAGCAGTGTGACGGCTGTGGTTCTTCTCTGTGAGGTTGACAGTAGTGTGACCGGCTGTGGTTCTTCTCTGTGAGGTTGACAGCAATGTGACGGCTGTGGTTCTTTGTGAGTTTGACAGCAGTGTGACGGCTGTGGTTCTTCTCTGTGAGGTTGACAGCAGTGTGACGGCTGTGGTTCTCTGTGAGGTTGACAGCAGTGTGAGTGCTCTGGTTCTCTGTGAGGTTGACAGCAGTGTGATGGCTGTGGGTCTCTGTGAGGTTGACAGCAGTGTGACGGCTGTGGTGTGGTTCTCTGTGAGGTTGACAGCAGTGTGAGTGCTGTGGTTCTCTGTGAGGTTGACAGCAGTGTGACGGCTGTGGGTCTCTGTGAGGTTGACAGCAGTGTGACAGCTCTGTTTCTCTGTGTGAGTTTCACAGTATGACACCTATGGTTCTTTGTGTGGTTTACTTGTGTCCAGGCTCTCTGAGCACTAGTTGAGGCCCAGGGCTTTGCCAATTCCTCTGGGAAGGCCATGAACTCGTCTCTGGTCCTTCCCAACTTGTACTCATCTGTTGTGAGTTCAGCTTCGAACCTCCACTTCCCCTCTTGAGAACGAGTGTGCAAGGCGTGGTAAACACCGGTGTAGAGCCCAAGCTGAGATGGCTCTTCAGAGTTCCAAGCAGGCTCCATCTTTCAAACTCCGCCTCCAGTATTCATGTAATCCCTGATGCTGTGCTCTGGCTTATTTGTGTGTTTTCTGCAATAGGGAAACTGCTCTCCTTGCCACCCCACCCTAATCTGCTCTTTGACAAATGCTTCCTACATAGTCATAGGTACTGGATTCCAAGCTGAGTGCCCATAGCAGATGCTGACAGCCAGCGGAGAGATCCCGCCCTCACGGAAAACATGGTCCTGTGGGGGGAGGGGGAAGGGAGACACTCCAATCCATAGATGGGATCCACAGCAAGTGCTGGAAGAAGAGCGCAGTATGGGGCATGGTGTCCTCGTCTGGCTCTCTGCTCCATCCCTCCGTCTCCTCGTCTGGCCATACAGACATTCATCTACTCACTTACCTGCACAGTCACCCATTTATCAGTTCTTCTGCCCATCCATTCGTCTCCTCACCCCCATTGATCTACCTATCCATCTACCCACCCATCCCGCCAAACATCTACCTACCACCATCCATCCATCCATTCAGCATCCATCCGTTTATCCGTCCATCCGCCTCATCCAACCGTCCATTCCTCCACCAAGTTAGTCATCCATCCATCTGTCTATCTACTCACCCATTTTCCATTCCTCAGCTGTCCCCCCTTCACAGACAAATGAGCCCTTGGGCCCTCTCTGTGGAGGGTGAGGCTGGAGGGCCACTTACTTGCACGCGTTTTTCTTGGCTCCTCCGGGATCTGTCCAGGCAGGTGACTCCCACATTGATGACACTGAGTTGTTATGCACAGTTTCCAGAGTTTATGATGTGTGGAGCCAGGATTGGCATGAAACCCAGCGGATGCCCCTGGGAAGGGGGGGTCTTTGTGACACCAGCTGGCCTGGGCTGCAGCTCTCCATAATGGACACTAGGTGGCCCCCTAAGCCATGGTCTGCATCAGGCGTTCCAGGCCTCTTCTGTTGTGCCACAACCAGATCCTTGCTTCTTGTGTTTGCTCCGTTTCCACTGCATTTGAGCCTCTTGCTTTAAAACAACAGCAAATCTGAAGTTATTCTGAGGCTTCAGAGACCTAGGATTGTGTCTTTATAGCAGAGCCTTGAGGCCCTCCTCCACTAAACCCTTTCATTGTAGCTTCACCTCCCTGAGAGCCTCCTCCATCAGTTCAACATCGATATGAGGACCTTCCCCATCTCACTTGGTCCTGTATCAAGACCTCCTCCACCCGTATCAGACCCTCTACCTGTATCAGGTCCTCCATCAGACCCTCTACCTGTATCAGGTCCTCCATTAGACCCTCTACCTGTAGCAGGGCCTCCTCCATCAGACCCTCTACCTGTATCAGGTCCTCCATCAGACCCTCTACCTGTA